CTTCATCCCCGCACTTGACTTGACTTGTTGGGCTGTGAAATCGCGCAGCAGCACAGCCGGCGACCAATGAAGCCGGCGGAAGCGACCATCACAACGCGCCCGCGATCGCTGCAATCACGACTTTTCGCACCTTCATCAGTCATTCTTCCTCCTGCCATCGCCATTAAGCGCACTCCCACTTCTTCTGCCCGGGGTGCCGCATTCCCGCTCAGCGCTAAAAGTCAGGATGACTGAGGAGAAGAGACCGCCCGCTTCTGCGGATGCTGCCGACGATTTGGACGACCTGGATGGCAAGTATCAGCGTGATTGTGGTGCCTCATCGAGTTGCACGTGCTGCGGTGCTGACAAATTCTCTATGTCTATGTATGCGCCCACTCAGATGTGCTGGATGACTTCAATCAAGGCTCTTCGGCAGCTGCGTCCGCTTCGGGTCCTCAGCCTTCTTCTTCCGCACCACAGCCAGCAGCTGCACCGAGCACGACTGCCTCAGATGCCAAACCTTCGGGTGACGACTCAGAAGCCGGAGCAGAGGAGAATGATGATGACATTTTCGAGGGAGACTTTGCGAAAGAGTTGGCTCAGGGGATGGAGGCCTTGATGCGAGAATTGGGCGGCGCTGGTCCAGGAGCAGGTGGGACGGACACCCAGTCAGGTCAACTACCGGCGGGCGCCAGCGGGCCTGTTCCTCCGCCCGGTGCAGATGGTGCTCAACCGCAGTATAGCGAGGAAGAGATGATGAAGCAGTTCGAAGCTATGATGCAAGAGATGGGCTTGGGAGGGCCGCCCGATGGTGCCCCTGCCGCATCAGGTGCGGGTGGCGCTGGCAGCACTTCAACCGGCGGAGCAGCTGGTCCACCCCCGGCAAACTTCCAGGATGCCATTCGACAAACCATGGATCGACTCAAAAACTCTGACACTTCCGCTTCGTCTGCTACGGGTGCCGGAGGAGGCCTTGGAGGGATGGGAGAGGCCGATCTGGAGAAGCTTATGGCTGCATTGAGCGGCGGGGAAGGAGGCGAAGGTGGAGCTGACTTTGAAAAGATGATGGAGAGCATGATGGCGGAGCTTATGAGTAAGGATGTCTTGTACGAGCCGCTGAAAGAGCTGAGGGATAAGGTGAGTGCAAGGCGCTTCGCATTCTTCCGGCCGCACGATGGCGCACACGCTCAACCCTCACTCCACTTCGCTTTGCTCTTGTCTCTATGTTGGCCGGTCCGGTAGTATCCCGAATACCTCAACTCGCCTGCAGCTGCCAGTATCTCTGCCTCAGACAGATCACGCTACCAGGCTCAAGCCAGAATAGTCTCGCAGGTTGTTAGCACTTTCGAGGATCCAGCATATACAAACGGTACGGAGGATCAGAAGAAGCATTTGCGCGCGACTGTCGGCGAATTGATGAACGAGGTGAGTGCAGATGCACCGCAGATGAGGCTGAAACTCTAGCGAAGCTCGATCCTCTGACCGTCTCACTTCTCTGCTCCACAGATGCAGGACAATGGGTCTCCACCCGACGAGATTGTCGGTGACATTCCGCCAGAGTTAGCAAACATGCCCGGCATGGGCGGCGGCGACGAGCAGTGCAGCGTCATGTAATCGCACGAATCTTTCGAGCGAATTTGCTTCAGTCGGGCAACTTTCACTTGCATTCCTTTGATGCTCTGAAGAGCAGTGCTCGATTGGCAGTTTGGCAATCTGGCCCCGGCAATGATCGATGTGCTGGACTGCCAGCTGCAAGTGGTCAGAGCAGCTACCATCAACGTACGCGGTTCAATGCCTCGGAGCGATAACGCCACATCCCTGCGTGCATTGTGACATTGAATAGTCGGCTGACTTGTACATGAGCTAATTTGAATATGGATGTATCAAGGAAAAAATGAAAATGTGTACGTGACGACGCGTGACGCACGCACAGAGCAACAGGAGAAGAGTGTGCGTCTCTCACAGCTGCCGAGTAGGGCGAGCATCGTTGTCTTCGGGCGGCGGCTCGACGTGCACCTCCGGTCCTGGAGGGCTGGCTGAAGCAGCCTTAGAGTACAGCGCATCTTTGGAAAATCCAGCTTGGGCAGCGGCAGAGTCTTCGCTAGGATCGGGCGTGCCGCGTTTCTTGTTCTCGCCCGGTCTGGAGCTGGCACGCATGAATACTCGATCCAAACGAGCGAGCCACGCATCGCCCAGCAAGTTGATACTCTTGGCGTCTGTGCTTGTCGCAGACTCGCCCCTCACCGAACGCGCGCTTCCATCCTCTCCCTCCACCGTGCTGAGCGTGTTACCCAGCTTCGGATTACCCAGCAAGCAAGCCGCCGCGAATGCGAGCGCGCAGTTGGAGGTCGCAGCTACCATCATGTACCGAAACACCCTGACGTAGGCGGCGACGACGGCTGTGCGCTCCGAGGTACCGACAGCGTGTTCCATGATCCAAGTCAAAGGTTCTGAGAAGATGGCGCTGAGCATGGAGAGACCGCTGATCGGTCTGAGCTCCTGTGCTAGGTAGCCCGGCAAAAGCCCTGTCCACATCGCACCTGCGAGCGCTGATCCAACCGCGACGCCCAGATTGATGCAGATGTTGAGTACCGCGATGCTCTGTCCGCACAGCGCGTGCGGCACGCTGACCTGAATGAGGCTTTGCACCACAGCCACTGTGAATGCACCGCCCAGGCCAATGATGATCTGCGCAGCGATGATGTGGAATCGTGTGCCACTGTTGCCGTTGAATCCGACCATCACTCCCAAACCGACTGTGAAGAGAACGATGCCGATGACTGCGAAGGGCTTGAGTCTGCCGGCGTATCGTACCGTCAGAGCTACCGGCAACGATGCCAGAGCGACAGTGAAGGAGTACAGCGTCGAGATGTTTTGCTGCGCTCGATTGCTTGTATCCTGAACGACGTAGAGGTATGTGGGCAGATACGCGGTGAGGACTGTGTTGCTGATCCAGAAGCTGGCAAGCGTCAAAGCTCCAGCCCAAGCAGTGCGATTCATCAAGAGTGCACGGGGCAGCAGAGGGAAGCGTGCCCCTTTGAGCTCCCACACCGCAAACGCCACAACAAGTGCTGCCCCCGAACAGAGTTCAGCGATGATATCCGCAGAAGCCCATCGACCTGGCGTACTGGCTGCAAGTGTGAGCGGGATGAGCAGGAGCGACAAGGCTGCGCACAGTAGCACGAGTCCTGGCAGGTCCACAACTTGAAGCAGCTCGTTTGCTCGGCTCATTGGTCGTTGGCGTGCGCGAGGCGGCGCTGGCAGAGAGGGCGTAGCGACAGACGCTTCAGCAGTGTAGAGCATGGCGATGAGTGGAACCAGAGTCGCCGGCCCAAGTATGGCAAACATGCCAACGCCCCAACGCCAATGAGGCAAGACTGCAGCATAGATGTTGGCACTGATGAATGAGAAGATAAGAAACGGCATCTGAGGAAGAATGACGAAGAGCAGACGATTCTTGCTCGATGTCATGTCCGCCAAGAGAGTCCACTGAAGCACGACGAGCCCATTCGCTCCAATCTCGAAGAGCGTCACGCCTCCGGCGTATGCAGCAGTGTTGTGACTAGCGGCAAGTAGCGCATGCCCAGATGCGTAGAAGGCGAGGCCAAGAGTAAAGGCATTCGCGCGTCCCAAACTGTCGGCAATAAGCGCAAAAGGTGGACCTGCGATGGCTGCGACCAGAGCTCGCACGACGTTCAGAAAAGACAAGCTGCTGTGAGCGGCGAAGGAGTTGGTCGCAATGGTCTGATAGCTGTACGTGGTAAGCCTGTCGAGACATAGAACAGCTCCCCAAGCGCAGACGAGAGCAAAGATGATGCCTTGACTACGCGGGTCGAGTTCCCGAAGAGCTTCCGCCCGCCTTATGCCTGCTTGTCGAATTCCCGCCTTGTCACCGATCGGCGCGAGTGTTGCAGCACTTGACCTCCTCGAGACAGCAGGTGACTTTCCTCGATTGGAGGACGTTGAGACGCCGACTGCGAGCCCGTTGGCACTGGCTGCGATCAAAGCTGGAGCAGCTGCGCCCATGGCGGGGCTGAGAGCGAATAGCGAAGGATCCGTCACAACGCTCTCCACTGGGACCTCTATCTTGGACGTGGACGAAGAGGGGACCGCATTTACGCTCTTCTCGGCGAAATAGTCGTCCTTTAGCGCGCCGGCAGAGCGACGAGGATGGGATGAGATCTCATCAGACTGCTTGGCGCGATTGCCGGGCAAAGTGGCAGCTTTTGCCTTTTCGACCCAACTACGACCTTTTCTAGGAGGTGCACTGGCAGGGCGCGCAAGGGGAGGCGCAATGCCATCCTCAAAGTCCGAGTACGCCGCTGCGCTGTCTATGCGTGCCGCCAGAGCTGGGTTCTGAGCTTGTCGCAATGCAGCGACCACGGCAGCTGCTTCGACGTCTGCTCGAGCGCGCGCGAATGGTGTCAAGATGGGGGAAGCACCTGGCGTGCGTGCTGTTCGAGGTGAGCCCGGCGTACCGGGGGTGGTAAGCGCCTGGTGGAAGCGCGAGGTGGAGTGCGCTGGTGGAGTACCGTGCTCGGGCAAGGCAGCCAAGGTGGAAGAAGGCAACGTCATGCTGAGATCGCTTGGGTTGTGGCTGGCGCTGGGTGCATTGCTGCTGGGCGCAGCTGGTGCGAATGGTGTGCCCGCCTGCTGACTCTCGTTGCTACCGGTCAATCGCCTTCGCGCTGCGATGCCCATCCTTGGGCCGCGCTCACTGTCAGTGCTTCCATCTGCACTAAGCACATCGACTTTGCCCGGGCCAGATCGAGATGGGCCGGCTTCTTCAGAGCCAGTGCTGGCCTCCAAGATCTCGCCTTGAGCTGAGCGACGTCGCAGCCCAAGCGATTCGGAGGCCTTGTGGGCTGCGATGGCCACCAGACCAGAGGGTGGCACACCCATCTGAGTGTTGTGAGCAGCTTCCTGACTAGGCGCGATTCCAGCATGCAAAGCCCTAGCCCCTTGCCTACCAACTAGCCGAGATCCTCGAATGACGGGAGATGTGCGCTGAGATGGAGGAGCACTGTGTGAATACGCGGAGGTGACAGCCAAGGTGGACCCGTCGTGGCTGAACGAGGTGGATGCTCGGCCAGCCAGCGCTGCAGGGCCGCCATCCTGTGCAGGCTTTGAGACTGAATCAAAAGGATGGTCCTGCCTGGCTTGCTGCGAGCTGGACATGATGCTCGACGAGGCCGTAGAGTGTGGTGAAAGGGTTAGGCGCGAATAGTCGAAGAGGACGAGGATCGCCCCGTTATCTGATCAGGAAGGCGAGAGCGGCATACAGAATCGAGGTGAAGGAGGGAGTCGCTGTAAATGTGTTTGGCACTCGCTACGGGATGAAGTGGAGCAAGCGAGGCTGACTTGATTGGGGGATGGTGCTCTACAGGTCAAGTATATACGCTTCCAGACTGATCGCTGCAAGAGAGAGATGCTGCACTTGCGACAGATGAGATCGGCGAATGGGCGATGCGGC